CCTGCTGTTCCAATGTTCTTATGATTAATTTCATAGGGTTTGGTGGTTTTCTTGTGATAATTATTTCACTATTTCAGGGACAGTTTTTAAAAACCAAGTTACAGGATTATGTTGGGCTATTTGAATTCCTTTCAATCAGCTTTTGCTCTAGGTCAGACTAATATATCAGTGGCCTCCTCATTTGTACAGTTGAGAAACTGGATAATGACCTCATAGCCTTGATTACAGTGTTACATTTTCCCTAAGCTCTTTGACATAAATAAAAAATAAGTATGTTTTGGGGAGCTAAAATATCACAGCCTCCATGTCGCATAACCTACTCCCATCCCTTGACATCTATGCAATGTTCCTGGTTGAATATTGCACAGGCAAAAATCTAGAACATAAATACAGAATAAAAATTATGACTCCTAAGGTTTTTTTAAGCGGAGCAATGTTGGAATCAAAAGACCTTCTTGTTATGGGAAATGTTTTGGTATCTACTGCCTTTTAATGAATAGGACTGAAGTGGAAGAGAATGGTAACTTCCATGTGTTGGCTTGATTGTTTCTTTGGGAGGTGACTGAGAACGATGATCATGTGGTAAGCTTTTGTAACCTGACTCTGGAGTCCCTTCAGGATGCTGTGAATCCCCTCTGTGTTTTCCTTGTGACCCCACTGGGGAGATTTCTAGCAGATTCAGTAAAGTTTTGTTTCTTTCTATGGACTGGTTACAATGAGACCCAAAAGTTTAATGCTGATTTTTGTCAACAAAGTTACTAAGACAAAATGCCACATCTTGCCTGCTACAACTCCCTGACAGGAGGTTGTAGTCAGTTGGGGTTTGTTTCTTCTCCCAGGCAACCAGCAGGAGGACAAAAGGGCACAGACTCAAGCTCTGCCAGGGAAGGTTTAGGTTGGATATTAAGGAAGAGATTTTTTACAGAGAGAGTAATCAAACATTGGAATGGGCTGCCCAGGGAGGTGGTGGATCCGCCATCCCTGGAGGTTTTCAAGATGAGACTGGATGTGGCACTTAGTGCCATGATCTAGTAACCACGGTAGGGTTGGACTCGATGATCCTTGAGGTCTCTTCCAACCCAATTGATTCTATGACTCTATGATCTCATGTATGAAAAGAAATGGGGTGGCCTAGTTCAGTGATGATGACAATAGTGTGTCTTGAAGGATCTGAATGGAGCTAGGCCCTCTTTCTTTTCTGGAGACAGATTTCATTAGACTTGGTAGATAGAAACACTGCCTAGAGATCAATTGGCTATTGGAATCATTTTCCCAGGGAAGTGGTTCCCCAATGTTGAACACTTTTAAGATTCAGCTGGACAGGGTGCTGGGCCATCTTGTCTAGACTGCTTTTACCAAGAAAGATGGGATCAGATGATCCTTGAAGTCCCTTGCAACCTGATATTCTATATCTGCCAAGGCTTTGCCATGTCTCTGCAAGATGAAAAAGCGTTCATCAACTGATGTTTAGGAGACTCCACCTATTCCACTGTCTTATTTTCCTATTGTGCTGCAGCCAGTCCTCTCCATAACTAAAAAATCTATTCTATACAGAAGAGGGAACTAAGATTTTTTTGTCAACTTAGTAAAGAAAAAAATCTAAGCAGATAGGTGAGGTGTCTTTCTCCTTCTCTCTTATTTAAAAAGATGTATGTCAAAATTAATGCATTTCTCAGTGGACACATTTTGAAATTCACTGCAGTGCAGTACTTCCATGCACCTGTAAAACAACCCTCTCTCACAGAGTGAGATCCTGAAACTTTCTACAAGAGTTGTATCCATGGGACTGCAGGCAGGAATGAGAAGTCTGTCTATGCCACATACTGTACCTCTTCAGGCATATATATATATGTTATGAGCTGTGGAGAGAAAGGGCTGGGCTTCATCCATGGAAATGGACTTTTTATTTTTTTAAGTCTGAAAGCTTATTGCTCTATAATCTTAATTCAACTTCAGGAAAACATTCTGTTTCAGAGTCTGAAACATGCACTTAACAGAGGTGATAGCACTTTTCTATCAAAGAATGCAGAATGCTGCAGTCTGCTGAGTCTGGAAAAAGAATGAAAAGATATTGCTGCTAATTTCTACACCATTTTATATCTATTGGAATTGCCTCCTGGCTTGTAATATTTTGCTGAAGATGCTTGTCAGCAATAGGCACTTTGATAATTGTTGTTAGCTGCTCAGCACAGAGAGGTATTTTCAGTACAGTTGCAGAAATAGCACTGTAAACTTGCCTGCAGTGACAGTAAATGTGGTGTAGGTCAGAGCCATATCTTTACTAAATCAGCTCAGCTATGGCATGAGATTTTACAGCAATAGTATAAAACCAGCATATGTACCATAGTGATAGTAAAACCAAGAGAGATAATGTATAGCATTAATCTCTCACTGTTCTACAAGGGCTGAAAGGAATCTGTCAGCTAATCCCATTTCAGCGCTGGTTATGTAGAGAGTAGGTCAGGAAACCCCATTGCTGACCATCAATTCCAGCTGTGAATTGTTCCTAGATTTCAGACATTCTCCCAGTATCCAAAGCCAGCTGTGTGTAACATTCCTGTTGCTTCTCACAGCAGCTTTTGCAAGCAACAGCTGTGTGAAGTTAGCAGGGCTGGGCCAGGGCAGGGTGAACAGTGAGGTTATGGTTTCATTGGGCGCAGTAATTTGCCATGATTCTTCTGTCATCCTGTACCTGAAACACTGATGTGCAATATGAATATTGCTGATAACCGGAATTATGCTGCTTACAGGCTTTGGGGTTTTTCTTCTGATGAGTAATGCAGTACTCTCTGGGTTAGCAGGGAGGTCCTGCAATTTGAACTCTTACTTCCTCACTCCCAGAGCTTTTGGCAACCTCTTTTGACTAGGATTGCCCAGAAGAGCTGCAAGATGTAGGCAAAGTTTAACTTTTTCCAAACTGGAATTCTCTTACACCAGTTTCCCATACTCCTCCTATTTTCCCAGAGTCTTGAGGCTGGCAGGGACAGGATAGGACACAAAAGCCACATTCTGCCTTTTGGGCCATTGGAAGAAAATTTAGGTCCTGACTATTCTTTATGTCCAGCAGTTGCTGCCCCTTTGGATACGCTGGCAGACAAGTTAATGTGATCAGTCTCGATTCACATCCAGCTGGTTAGCAGAAACCTTTTAAATTAGTGCTTTGATTTAATCCAGCTGATTTTACATGGAGTGCGTTGGTCTTGCTCCTGTAAACCACACTGCCAGAGGGTCAGAGAGGAGTGATGCCAAGCAGTGTGGAAGCTGTGACCCCTTGCACTTAATACAAGTGCATCCAGAAGATTGCCCAAGCCATTTATCACTTACATGAGGGGATTTGAACCCTTTTGCCTAGAAAGC